TAACACCACACTCGTCCAATAAGTCGAGGGAGAGAGAGACGCGCCATCGTCGGCGATATTTGATCATGCCAGCTGTAATCAGAATCGAGTTGTATGGAATGTAACTAGGAATGAGATACTGCGATATCCTCGAGACACCGATGCTCTGCATCCGTCACCTGGATGTATCTTCTAATCGTTCCTTCCTCAACTGTATTAATTTTATACAACTCTAAATGGTTAAAATAAGACGCGCGATATCGAACGCGAAATCGAAATTACACGTTGTTTTTAATCCATCAAACGTTCTCCGTGCACCTCCGAGCCGGTCGTTATCGCTTTCCGACGCGAGACGGCATCTCTGCGCTTAGTCGCGATATTGTTCGATTTCGCACGCAACGCGCTCGTCGCAAATAGGGAGCAGATTAATAAGCGACGCGACGGGGGAAGTAGAAACAGGCAATCCGCGTATTTTCGCCGGCCGGCACGGATGTCTCGCGTCTGCGCGCTTAATCGTGAATAATCTGTTTCGCGAAAATAGAAACGTCTACGTTTTCCGCCGCGCACGGGCGGAGTGAATTTTCTTCCCTCCGGTTCTACCCGGGGAGGGGGGGAGGTGCGGTGCGAGGTGTATAACATCTACTTTATCCGTGCCTCCGCGGAACGTGCACGCGACGGGACGCGCAGGCAGCCGCGATTTTTTACGTTTTCTAATATAAATGCGACTCGCGCGGGTCACGATGAAAATTGGCCGCCGCAGTCGGCGAGATGAATTCGCGCCTCTCTCCGCGCCGGGAATTGCGATACCCCCGCTAAATACATCGCCGGCTAGAGAGGATCGTATATCACAATTAACATCAAAGCGCGCTTAATATCCGAGGTGAGTTTCGCGAGAAACGACGGATACCGGAAGTACGAGTAGGTTCGCGCTTACGCGTCTTATAAAGAAGTTCTCGCTGATAATCCACGCGCGCTCGTCGCGGTAGCTTGATACGTCGTCGCGCGTAACGTACGTGGATTAATTGCCACTCCTGCCAAATACGTTACCAGCTCTCTTTTACGCTTTACAAATCCAATCCCCTCTGAAACCGAGAAAGATAGATAGAGAGAGAGAGAGAGAGTAGATATTTATTGCCATTGGGATTTCCCATTTAGTACATAGCATGGTTTGGTTGGTTACGTAAGAGTAAGTAGATACAGAGTAAATAGATACACAGACGCATAATAAAGTACGATCAATCGAAAGAAGGAAAATTAACGAAGTAAAGAACAAAGTCGCGTGAATAATTTTGTGCGCACGCTTCATTCCGAGTAGAGCTTTATTTATAATTTAGTTTAGTTTTATTTTTATGTCACTATATATAGCCAGCATTCCCATCTCATATTGCCAGAGTTAATCACACACACATACACACACACACATATATAATGATTGTCGAAAAATACTAATAGAAGAGCATTTCACGATTCTCTCGGGCAAGATGTGCCAAAAATATGATACAGAGACCTCAAACGATTTTTCCCAAATTTTAATTCGATATGGTGGAATCAACTAAACACGTGTGAGTCACTCGGGTAACCCGCGTCGAGGCAGACGGTAACATAAATAGATTGTACAGGCAGACTGGCTCACCGGGTAGCCAAAATTTGATAGAAAATTTAGCCGATATCAAGAAATCGTCTATTCGTAACGCGAAGTAGTCGGTCCCGCCTGCAGTCTTCTGAGAGAAACGTATTTATTACATCTCAGATCAAGCACAAAATAGAAAAGGGAGAGAGAGAAAGAGAGAGAGAGAGAGACGCAATCTGCTTAGAAAACGATGAATTTTCGTGAGTTTCCGCGCCGAATAGGACGCGTTTTCGCCGGTCCGTTTTCGCGGGCTCGAGGAAATACACGTATCGACGTGCGAACGTAGAGTGTCCCGTGCGCCCCCTCCTCCCCCCGTACGCTTTTCCAAGCGACGGCGAGACGGAGAGCGGCGATACGGCGGCGTTCGCAATTTACAGCGCGGTGCGAAACGATTTCGAGGCGAGGAAGAACGGCCGCGTATGGATCGAGCTTCGGAGGCGGCCGCGGATCTCTTTGTGCTCTCTTCCTTCTCCTCCGGACGGCCTCTGATACCCTCGCCTCTCCTCCCGCCCGGTCCCCTCATCGCGCTCCGCTGCCGTCCCCCCGCCTCGCCGCAGCTCCGTCCTGTCCTCACGGCGAGTCATCTCGTTTAGGTCGTGCTGGCGGCGGAGGAGGTGGTGGTAGTGGCGGCGGCAGCAGCGGAGGCGGCGGTAAGGAGGGCCGCGAAAAGGGGCTGGGTGACGGGCGAGGAGAGAAGGAAAGGGCCGGTGGAGCCAAGGAACGAGGAGAGGAGCCGAGAAGAGGCGACAGGGTCGAGGGAGAGTAGCTGCGGGACAGAAGGATATATGGCTGTGTATTATGTACTTGGAGCCGCGTTACATACGCCTTCGTCCTCCACATAGCGAGCGGGAGGGCACAGGTGTATGTGTGCGCGCGCGGGCGAGCGAGCGGGCACTTGTGCGAGCGCGTGCATGCGCGTCGAGGAATCCCTCTCTCTCTCTCTCTCTCTCTTTCTGTACACGCGAGTGTATGTGTGGGCGCGCCCGCGCGAAGGCTCACTTCGCACGCAAGCGAAGCTTCTAACCAGCTCGAATCGAAGATGCGCGGCGGACCTGGAATCACGCGAGCCACGTTAAAAATGATCCCCGCGGCCGGACGAGAGAGGGGCTCGCCGGAATCCGCCGTGAACGGCTAAATGAAGGAGAAATTCCGCGCGCGACCCGCGCGAGATATTTCCCCCTTATGACGAATGCCTTCGGGACGTCTTATGTGTCGTTACATAATATCGTTGTGCGGAGAGAGAGAGAGAGAGAGAGAAGTACCGGTGTGCATAACCGCTGAGGAGCGTTTATACACAAGTTTGAGCGATCGAACTCTTCGAGGTGGATGAATATTTCTGAAATTGTAACTTTAATGAATAACTCGCGCTAATTGGCGGTGACATGTGCGTGATGACAGTCACCGTTTGCTCGATGTGTAATCGTAACGATGGAGGCAAGCCTGTAATTGCAATTGTTTCTAAAACATGTCGTTGCGTTATTTAAACATGTGAGGTGGCGGTGTCCAGGCGCCCGCGTAATAATGCGTTCGACAGCGCGAACGACAAATAAAAATATTCGAATCGCGTCAAGTGTGCGTAATGCGTGTATGTGTATGTATCGAACGTAACGACGGCCGAGGGGATCGTTTCTCTTTTTGTGGCACGATCTGGAATTATACCGGGACAGGAAACCGCGGTCTGATAAGATCGTACCGCGAACTCACTCAACGACAGCTGTTCATAACATCACACTATAAATATTATTGAATGACCAATCGTTGTGTTTCATTTAAGACATAGAGAAATTAGCTCCTTCGCCTCGCATGACGATCAAAAATTCATCGCGGGAAATCACGGGAAGCATGCGTGGGATTTAATGAAATTCGATATTATTCGCGTGGTCGCGAATCCGAACGCGAGGATTCGGCTGACTTTTCATTAATTTACGAGGCGAGTAATATCTTTTTCCAATATTTTCTTTCACATTGTACGCATTGTCGCATAAATCGCTGCCGGGGCTTATCAACGATCTCTTTGCGGCGTTACGTACAAAAAATATCGGGGATCATAAATCGTGACGCGTGCGGGTAAAAAATAGCGAGGGGACGTATAGATGTATAGATTTTTTTTTGTCTATAACGAGCTGACGTTCTTCTCCTCGTAAAGCAGCTCGCGACGCGCTCTGTCGTGAGACACGTTACTTTTTCTACCGCGTTCGTTCGTAACGATGGAAGATAAATCGTGTCGGGAGAACCTGCAGAGTCGGTATCTCGGCGACTCGATCGATAACTAAACGCTGTATCAATTATCTCTTGCGCCGATTGACTCTCAATTCTGCCGCAGCAATATGACTTATTACGGCACGGTAATCTCGTTTTTATTAAAGTTCCTGTGATAAGAGAGTTGCGACGAGCCGCCGCCATTTATAGATGCAGCAATCTCGATCTCAATGTGAATCATTGCTTGCTTCAATTCGCGACTGTCATCTCGTAGATCACGCGTTGTTTAGACAATGACAGAGATAACATCGTCTCGTCAATAAATTTTAATCCGATTCTCATTTAATTATGTGAACTAAGATTTTTTCTGTATAATAATAATTAGTCAGCGTGCGCGTTGAGCACGCCTCTGTGTTAGCTTCATTGGTAAATATACGGTATAACGCTCTTCCCTCAGATTTATTTGAAACTTTGATAATTTGTACATTTTAATGCGTAGAATTAATTTCTTCAAAAAAGGAAATTTTTCGCTCATGCACTGTTCTCCATAACAAAATATAAATTATTAGGTAAAAAATATTTTTTCTTATAAAAGAACCCTCTAAGCACGTAATATAATAAATGCACTCTGGGCATATCAAGTATTTAAGTTTTTCTTTAATTTCTCACTTCGATATTTCAGCATTTGTCAATAAAACCAATAATATACATATGTCTTAATTGTAAAAATTAATCAATTATTATATACATGCCGATAAACCAACATATGTACATAATGAACCGTAGATAAAAAAACTAAGTAATTTTCGCTTATGATATATGAATAATACTAATAAATTCTAACATTTTGCAAAAAAATCGCAACATTTAGATTATATCACATGTGTTTATCTATATAATTAAATACTGGGTTAATTGCATCATATATAATTAAGTACTGGGTTAATTGCATTCATTTACTTTTTAGTAGGATTAATTTTTGAAACATCTATTTTTCATGTACTACACATATATTTCTTGTTGCATACGAGTTTGAATATTTTTCTACGTACTTATCGTATGATTTTTACTTTTGTAAAATATTGATCTCTTTTCCCGGATCTTTCATCCGCTCATGAAATTGATGTATTCTCGTCTTACGCTGGGCGGATTCGCTTGTCGAGTGCAAATCGAGCATCTTCCGCCGCTCGAATCACGCCTCGCAAGTTCGACTTCTCCTCGAGACTTTTTTCCTCATGTTAACTGTCGTGCATGTCGCACGCTTGTCTCGCACCTCTCGGAGGACCTCGCGGATCGGTCGCGTGCCCGCGGCTCGTCTCAGCTCGTGAAGGAACACTATCGCGGATATCAGGAGGCCCACGGCGAGCGTGGTGAATCCGGCGCCTAACGGGATCAGTCCGAGGACCCGTGCTGTCCCGTCGTGACCGTCGTACTCCTTGAGAACCTCACGCAGATTGAAGCTTGCCCTACGACGGATGACATCGCTCAAGTGAAACTTCGTGATGCCCGCCTCCTTCAGCCACAGCATTATCTGCAAGACGAAGAAAGGGTGGAGATTAATCGTGCGACGGCTCCTGCTCGGGACGTACGTTCGAAAATATCCTTCGAGTGCCTTAATCCTCCCGAAAGTCGTTCAGAAACATTCCGAGAGCTATCTGTAGACTTTCACTTCGAGAGTGACTATTTCACCCTACCTCGCTAGGTGGGGAAAAGAAGGTAAATGTGGGTTTGACGGGAAAGTAGAAAAGGATGCTCAACGCTATCGAGATCGATTTGTCGAGTTACGTGCTTATTACAGGGCGGAATAAAGTGACGATTACGCAGAATTGGTGTTCTTTCTGTGGGATAAAATGGGGTATTTATTCGCGCATTTTTCTATCAAATCTGCCACAAATATGCGTCCTAATCCCACACACACCGTATGTTAATTTTCACACAGCCTCTAGTGTTTTATTAATGTATTTTTTTAATTGTTCTCGCAGCAAACACTATTATAGTAAAGGTGTCTCACAATTTCGGCAATGTATTTATTGAAAACCGAAACGAATCTTTGGCTGATCCAACGATAACGATACTTTTTACTCTTGATCATCTATTGTTCGATATGTAATAACACTAGCAATACCAACGTGTATCCGCAATATTTCTTATTAACACGTTTGCGCCACAGTTCTTTGCGTTGCGTTTATTTATTTTTTTTTGCATGAACGGAAGACGCTACGAGGAAAAGTGATATATGTTTTTGACGTAACTTTTTCCATGGAATCGATTGGACAATCAGTTTTATTCTACAGCCAATATTTAAACATTTGTTTATAACAATTTATTGCAAAACTGATTTCTGCAGGATGTTTTTTATAATATATCCAATATGGTTTTTCATGTTCCAGTCTTATTTGCGGTTGGTTTCTTTTGCCAACTTTACCGGTCTAACTATGGACTTTAATGGATTAATTAAAAGATGGGACGAAAGATCGGAAATGAAAGACCGACACGTAAGAAATCCGGAAATTCGTACTGGCGAACTGAATTTAGATCGTGCACAATTATCGCGTCTCATTACCATGTTGACGGGATGCAGCAGCCACGGCTGAACGGCGAATGACGAGTAAAACTGTCCCACAGTATCCTTCATGACCCTGTAATCCTTATAAACACGGATCACGATTTATTTATTCCGGTATACGCGAAACAACGAGCGATATTTAATACATGCGCGATGCTTTGTCACGCATAGGGACTCGCGTCTCACTTTAAGATCCTCGTTCATGATATCATCCTCCGGGAAGAAGATCGAGTCCAGGATCGAGCCGAGGATCGCATATCTGCCCGTAATGACCAGCCGATGCGTCATCTGGTCGTCCATCACGTGAATGTATCTCGATGGTAGTTGACTCGAGTAAGGGTCCTGCAAGGTGTTCATTTCAGTCACGGTGGACGATAACGAGACGGACAAACGAGACTCGGGTACGAATATGCTGTTCAACATACGTCCATATCGAAGTAATCGTGATAAGGCGGCACTTGTCCCTTCCGACCCCACGATAGATTCGCCTCGAGGAATTCAGGCACCGTGTCGATCCTGCAAAACAGTCCCGCGTAATTTCCACGGGGGTTTTTCCCCCTCGACGTGTCGTTCATTCGAACGAAAGAACGAGCAACTAATGGAGAAGAATATAATAAACAGCGAATATAGAGAACCGTATGAAAAAGTCGCACCAGGAGTGCGCGAATGAATTTATATCGATATATTAATTACAAGTTAATTATGTTTTCGCAGAATTTCTCGCTGCTGAATATCACGCTAACGTAATAAGTAATATAGAAAGTAATAAGTAATATAGAAACGAGAAAGAAGGTGATTTTTCCACCTGTCTTCGTATTCCCAGCTGGCGAGTCTCGCGGCGAGACTGCTGCAGTACGCTGTCACCAACACAACTCCCACCGTTTGCCACAAGTGTAGTTCGAGTCGGGCGTTCGCAGTGTTGATGGGCACCCATGTGCCCAACAAGCGGCCGATCAATTCCGTGATGGTGATCAGGAAGCTGCGAAAGCCTGATAGAACGTATTTTATCTCCCGTCGTGTTGTCAGCCACAACGATTCCGGTCGTTCCCGCGATTATTCCGTACAGCTGATCTTATACTGAGTATTCCAGAATACCTCCGCCTGTGGAGGCGCACCGAAAGATTCCTCGTGCCGAACGAAGCCATTTATCGTTTATCAAAAATTCGCTCGAGTGATCATTTTTAAATGAGATCTATTTCGAGTTGTCGAATTAGCGTGTTAAATGAAATTAAATGAAATCACTGTACTAATTGGACGTGAAACAGGAACGACATGCACACTCTGCGGAATCACGAAATATCACGTGCGCCCGAGTCATGTGGAATATTTTTCTTCTATCTCACTAAATATTTCACTACACAGCTAAGTATAATATCTGAATTACCTACTATTGTTAATAGAACTCGTTTCCATAAATAATTTATATAAATAATATTTCATTAGCTTTTCTCAAAACTACAAATATTTTCAATGCCGCAAGAATCTCTCGGTGCACTCCGCATTCGATTATTTTGGGACACTCCGTCTTAGTTTTCAGGACTCCGCGGCCGAAATCCAATGCTTACGGGGGGATAAATGAATAAAAAATTTCTTGAATGTACAAAATAAGCGCACAGTCTTTACCGAGTTGTTAGTCCTAAGTGTGCACATTCACGGACCGATATTTATAGCCGCGGTCGAGCTTTATCGAGCGGATCTACATGAGCAAAGCATTAGAGGTGCACGACTATCATTATAATTTCGTTCGGCGCAATTTACGGAACTTTTAGGGGACGTCAGTCGTAGTCTGCATTTGTGGGGGCATAAAGAGCAAAAAATAGACATATCGAGTTCCACGTATCGGCTGTGCTTGATCCGCCGAGCGGATATCGTCGAGCGGACGCGCGGATCCTTCGGACTTACGTTTCGGAAAATTCCGATCGATTTTAGCGCGCGCGTACATATAGGCGCTGCTGATCAGCAACACAATTACGAGAAGTATCCAGACTTCCAGCGGGAAGGGCCTCGTGAGCGCCCAGAAACTAGTGATTGCCTTCGGTCGTGGCACCAGGAAATGTATGAACAATTGGTACCAGGGCTCCGACAAGTTCGCGAACGCATTGTGATCCTCCGATAGCCAGATGCTCGCGAACGCCATGTCGATCTGTGTACACGAGGCGGTAATAAAATTGCGATTAATCGCGGTGAACAAAATTGCCGATCTTTGGTCTCTGTGTCACTTGGACCTTAATGGCAACGCTCGAAGGATGTAAAAACGAAGGGAAAATGGGAAATTTTGTAATCAAATCTGTGCGTCTCAATAGAGCGGAGTTTAAATTTTCATTTTCAAATGGAGAAAACAGCAGTAATTTCTCATTTGTAGAGTCAAAGAAGCACAATAGAAGACTTGAAGTTTTAACGTAAAGAAAACTAAACTAGACTTAATGTCGGACTAAAATTTCGACTCGGAATGGCACATGCTGTTTCGTTGCTATTAATAAAAGAAATATCGCTGAAAATTCGACGAACTTTTGCAAGCTCTTAGTATCACAATATTTCGAATTCATCCCATTCGCTAACCCTACCTTTCTCTCCCGCAGAAGTTGGATCATGCCACCGTTCCACTGTGTTCCGTTTCGTCGTCCGTACCTGAAATTGACGTTGCTTTTAACATTAGCGCGTCGGCCGTGATAGATGTAACGGAAAGATAACGACATGTTGAAAACCTGTACGCTCCTCCTGGTTTCCGTAACGTCCAAGTGAAGTTCAACTTCTCCGCAAGTATTAGAAATATTTTTACCTCTATCCCGTCCTTCTCCGCGTCTGCAAATATACGATCAAATCGTCACACCAGTCGCTTTGTCGGTTCTTTTCCTTTCGCTGCCTGCGCACCGAAGATAAAACAAATATAATGTCAGACCTGATATTTTCTTTTTCTTTTAACTCGACACTAGATATTACACGTCACTATAACGGCTCCCCGCTAAACGATCGTTTAGTACGAGACGCCACTATATAGTGGCTCTCTTTTAACACTTACATTGAGACTCAATAGGTAGCTTGTCGTTATTAAAAAGTAGTTTATTCGCTTCTTTTTAACCGTATAAATATAAATCTCACTAAATCTAACTCATCAGATGTTACGTCACACAGATATTAACGCATATACAACGAATTGCACAGTGTGAGATATTAACCCTTTGCACTCCGCTGTCGCCGTAGCGGCGACATGGTTGTTTTGCTGCCTCGGCACTTTAAGAAATTTTAAGTCCTAAAATTTATGTTTTTCTTTTATAATATAAGTTAGAATATGTTTTGTTATAAAATAGCTAAGAAATAAAAATTTTGTTTTATTGAAACGACTCTATTTTTCTTCTACATCATAGGTATGTACTTGGAACTAATAGCCTCTATGCATTACTAGGCTGGAGTGCAAAGGGTTAAACGTCGATCGCGCTGCTACTATCCATTACGTGCAATCAGTGACAAAGCTGTGCGCACAACGGTGGAATTCCGCGCCCGGGTTAGCTAAAAGTAGCTAAAAGATCACTTGATAGGCGGACGAACGTGATAAAAGTGATTTAATGAAATATTCAGATCCCGATTTACCATTATTCGCTAGAAAAACATCTTCCTCGGTGCCGTGTATTATCTTCTTGATCGTCGTGTTGAGATAGGAAACGGGCGGCCGATAAAACGTGCACACTCTCAACTCCCTGCCTTTCAGATTAATCATACCGAATTCACTCCTCAACTCCCTGTAACTGCGAATATATGTGTGCATACAAACAATTGATATTTACAGAACATTCAAGCGACAGGCTCGAGACTCGCTGAGAGGGTATGTGGTATTTGTTAATTAAAATTTCGATATATCACGCGTAGATTTTGTCGTAGTTTATTATGTCACACTTCAATGGTAACGAAACGGTGTGTGTATGTGATCGGTTACAAAAAAGTTACAACATCATTTTTATCAATTTCGGAACGCACGTGTCTAACGGGAGAGTTTATTTTTTAGTGATCTTCAAGAGATATGTTTTTCTATTGGATACGACATGCGAAACTTATCGAGAAAATGCATTGCAACTTTTTCGCGAATGACCACATACACGCACACATACGTATGCTAACGCGTACTCAACATCCAGGAGACATCAAATTAAGGATTCGATTGCAAAAATTGATATCCTTACTTAGAGATGTAATATTACCGTCAGATTTAAAATGACGATTACTTACGATAAAATAACAGTAAGATGGTAATTAATTTATAAATTACCATCTTTATATTTTTCATATTAATAAATTACCATCTTACCGTAATTTTACAGTAATTTTAGTCAAATTCGTTGTTTTTGATAGTTTCGTGCACAAATAGACTGTACTTATGTTTTTCGCACTAATGCATAAAATAAAAGAACATTCTCCCTACATTGTGTATCTGATAATATCTGAAATGTCTTTCAGATGAAAAAAAAGGAACTATTTACAATCCTTCAAAGGTATTAAAATTTTTAATGTTTTTGTTTTTTTTATTTTTTATAATAAAAATTTTCAATTATAAATATATCACCGTTTCGTTACTGAAACAGCAACGAAATGATAATAGAGAAAATGTACCGAAAACCTGTAAACGGTGTAACAATATAAAAAATACAGATTAAGACCTTCTGTTTTGAAAGTCCTAATAAAAAAATTTGTTTAAGTTTTTCTAATTACTATATCTAGTTTCCTAATTAGTGTATGCTTAATTATTATGTATTTTTTTTTAATTTAATTAGTGTATACTTAATTACTATTTTTTTTTTTAATTACTATATGATATGATTTTTTTAATTACCATATGATATATCAATGTACAGTATCAAAATATTTTATGGAAAATCTAAGTTAAATAAAATGTTTTATTTATCCGAAAAACCAAATGCTTCTTTTGAGCTTTGCACGAAAATTCTTTCATTTCCGTAATATTTTCTAAACTACCATTTTTCCAGCTTACCAAAATTACCGGATAATTTATTGTAATTTGCCGGGTAAGTTACCGTCAGATCTGATCGTTTTCATCTTGATTCTTACCTGTCCACTTTTAAGAAAAATCGAGGGTCCAGATAGTTCTCTGACAAAGTCCAAATGCCGGATCGTGACACGACGTTCGCGTTGGCACTCCCATACAAAGAGACGTTGAAGATCCTCGAGTCGTTTCTCAGCTCGCCGTCCACGATAATGAGGATTTCTGTGGTCGAAATAGACGAGGGTACTCTGCGGGGTGAATACGGTCGTATTTCAGCCGCGGTAAGAGAATCCGCTCGCTTCCAACTACTTATCGTTTCGCGCAATTAAAATGACGACGTGCAACGTCATTATTTTCTGTATCGGTTTATCGAGATGTATTTTCCCTTTTTTCTTTTTTTATTACTTGCTCATCGCCCTCTCTATTTCCTTGTCCGTCGGCCCCAGCAAGAAATACCCTTGGCATTCGTAAGTTTTTCTACGCAACAGATAATCGTGAGGATACGTCTCCCTGAATTGATTGAACAACATTTCCACGCTATGGATTGGCTCTGAAACGATGACATTCGGTCAAAATCAATTTCAAGGCGCGCGCGTGCACGCGTGAGTGAACCAACCGCTGAGATAAATGTTGCAACACTTGGAATTGCGAAACGACTTCTCGATCATCGTCGCGAAGTCTTCCGGCGATATCCAAGATTCCGTTCTGGCGATCGTCATAATGTTCTCTTTGCCGGCTGACACCTGGCCGATGACGAGCGACAAAAGACCGAATAGCGAGCCGATTTTCATGATGCGTTTTCATCGCTGCGTCACCCGCGTGCCGACCCCTGCCTGTTGCTATTCGCGATATATTCGCAAGCTTCTCTCATCTACGAGCCGGCCGTCCGTTTAAGAGTCGAGCGTAACCTTCTTCGCGAATTATCACGGAATATCGGTCGAAGATCGCGTCTTTCGCTCCGCCGCTCGGCCGTGACGGCCGAGTCACTCGAAGTAGAGTGACTTTCACTCATACAGACCTCCGAATCGTCCGGTGAATATTTAATAACATTTCATTGAACTATTCTTTCCCGAGACATTCCGTCTGTTTCCGAATCCCCACCCTAATTGACTGAAACATCGGCTGTACAGTTTGGGGATCCACTTTTGCCGAAACAATCACTCCCGCGATTCCAAGTGACCGATATCTTCCCACCGTCTACGTTTCGGACAAACGCCCTCTCATTTCGAATCAGACGTTATCCGAGGAAATTTAAAAGCCGTTGCGGATGGAAACTTTCGCGGACTACTATTGCGTGAGACTTCGAGTTGGTCCCGATCTACCGGTCGATGATCGTCGGATATCCGCTCGCGGGAACTCAGCGATTCCGTGCGAATCGGCGGTTACGGACTTGGAATTTCTCCGCTGACTGCAGCAGCCGGGAGGAACGGCGAACGTAACGCGAATACATCCGGTCTGAGAATGAAAGCGGAGTCACCCCGAGTCACCCCCGAGCTGTCAAGTCGCCGTCCGTGTGTGCAGGCCCACACTCCTCCCTGTCTATCGTGGGGGGTACTCGGGGCTGCAGCCTGACAGCAGATGAAACTGCCTCGATAGCGTACTCCGAATAAACACGGAATTACCGGCGACATTAGCGCGGCTGCCACGCGAAACGTAATTACGCGGTGTGTACGAAACCGGTGTAATTGCGAGAGGCCGGCGGACGAACCGTCGAGTCCGGTGCTTAATTGGCGAACCGTTGAAAAATTCATCGACCAAACGGCATATTGTGACAGCAATAAGAGGCGCGCACCGGAGGACACTTGGCGGACGCCGGAGGCTAAACACACGGTGGGTTCATTATTGTTATCTCGAGCGCCAACGGTGTGTCTTTGCGCTTTACAGTCGCGAGCGAGCGCTCGTCCTTGATGATATCGATTCTCCGTTCGGAGATCACTCGTGATGTGACGTCAACGTTTACGACGATGAGCAATGAGCGATACGCAACGCGACACGCGACTGTAATTCCCGTCGCGCGCGCGCGCGCGCGCTGTGTATTTATTATTTCGCTGTGCAATCTCGCTACCAATCGCACAACCGCTTATGACAATGCGCGTGCCGCCTGCCAGCTCAGATTGCGAACCGATTGAGAAGAGCCGGTAAATTCGCCTTATCTCTGACCACCCGCATTCGCAAGATTTATATTCACGTTTCACGTAATCAAGTGGCGAGCACGAGCGTTTATGCCACTGATTTCGCGAGGTTTTTGCGAGGGATCGCTTCTTCACGTTGATTCAATTAATATTTTTCTTTTTTCTACCGTGCAATCTGTCGATTGGGACATTCGATAATTCGTTTGAACAGAAATGAAAGTCTCGTGGAGGGTATATCTACGAAGGTAGCCGGTATATCTCCGAAAGTAGCAATCTTTTTAGAAGACTTGTTTTTAACTTATATTATAAGTATATATATTTATTATATATGCATATGTACACTTGGGAATCTGGTTAATAAATCTGTTGGTCTGAATTTGTTCAGCCTACGTCTAACGTTAGAGTTGTTAAGTAAGTTTCTCACGAGATCGCTTGGGGCGGGAATTTCGTTTATCACGGAGGCGATCATAAACGATTGGAGATTACACGTACTTCTCAATCAGTTACGACAATAATGTTTAGATATTTCGATTCCTTATTAAATTTCGAATAAATGAGTGAAGAAAAATGTTGGTGGCTCGCAATAAGGTAAATAATAACAACGATCATTTGTTTACCATCGACGCGCAGCGCCTAACCTGCCAATCAATTAATATAATCATGTAAAATAAATGTCGACAAACACGAAAGTGTACTTTTATTTCTTTTCTTTGAAATTGTCGCGGATATATGTAACTTTGTTCTTCGCAGGCAAACGCGCGACCTCGTTCTCGCTACATCGCAACCTCGGGAAAACGGGCGTTCAATTATGTCATTTTTACAAGCCGCGAGAAGAAATTACGAGACCGATTATGACGTTAACGGGTTCTATAACGGGACCGTGAAATAACCGGTTGTAACGAAAGAGGAGATAATGCCCGACGTTATTTTAGTTAATCGTCGCAACTACGCGCGTCTAAGAAACGACTCGGCGGATAATGTCGTGTAAATATTAAACAAAACGATAACATCGAGCACGCTCATTTTACCGTTTTTATCTTGGATAGTGCAGTAATGTTTTATTCGACATGGTATTCGCTATCATCGCGTGTCGACGCGCATTTTTAATCACTGTCTTATCGACGACAGGTCATCGGCAATCGGCGATCGAATTCAGCGACCATAAGCATCACGTAACGATTATTCAAGCCAATTAATGGAATTACGAAAACACGTGAAGCTCCGTAGCAGAATCGATCAGAAATCCATGTCGATTCTGGAGAGAAAGATCCGGAAGAGGTGGGGACGATTTTCCCATTATTACGATATCATCGTGATAATCGTTGTTTCTCGACATGCGTGAACGTCGTACTTACAACGTTGGATCGTCGTGTTACTTTTAACGAGGCTAATCGAATTCTCACTTTCTCAAGCAGTCTATGATAAAGTGATATGACGCTTCCAACGGGAGAGATCGCGCGAACAGTTCAAATCGCCCGCGTGCAAAGCGATGCTCGTTATCAATTCTTATCAGACTCGTGCAATTGGTCTTCGTGAAACGCTAAACGATTATCCTCGCAGATAAGATGTCGCTGTCGTCATGCTTCTCGCGTGTTTATCCAGAGACCAGTGCTGAATGTCTGTCCTTGATTAATTACAGTCGTTCACTTTGGGCTCCTCTTTCGGTCTCGGAAGAATTCTCTCGCGGCGACAAATCGCGCAGGGATTCTATCGTTTACCGGCATGATACCACGTGCCATCTCACTACCGTCGAGCGTATCCACGCAGAGATATTCAAATCGACTCTTGCTATAATTAGCATTTGATTTTACAAGTCACGAATACCATACGTTGCAGTCGGTGTAAATATTCCACTGAGTTCGCGTCGCCAGTGAACGCGAGATGAGTGCTTTCACGACGTTATCGAAGTTCTCGTCCAGCTTTGCGGCCACGGCAGCAGGTAAACGCTCATTTGCTCTTTGAGTATTAATGAAATGGATAAGGGAAGCCGCATGAGGTTTGAATCGTCGATTTGGTTCGAATTACGTGAGTAGGTCGGGAATCGAAAACTATCAGGTCCATGTTTTGCCGTTTGCTGAGACACTCAATAGTTTTCGAGTTATTAATGATAAAATATAGTTATAGTTATGCTGAGTAATCAAGTAAAATACATAACAAATCTGCGTTAAATGATCTGGTAGAGAAAGAGCTTAAGCGTCCGGCTGTCAGTTGGACCGTCCACGTTCGAAAGTGACAGTTTCTACCTTTTTTTTTTTTCATTTTTTCTTGTTTCTTTATTTTATTTTATCATTAATATCAAAAAATACATACACAAATTTTTTTATATATATAATTTGGAATATATTTATATCATATGTATCTTATATATTATCCCCTCCTTCACGAAGTGTATGCATTCAACATTATATATATGCGTGTGTGTATGTGTCTGATTTTCAAATTAGGAGCGAGATGTTATTCAAAAATCGGCTTCGTCGGGCTGGGCAACATGGGCGGTCACATGGCGAAAAACCTGTTGACGAAGGTAAAACGAGAATCCGAGCATTCCACTGGCATCGCCATCGGCAAACATTCACCCACACGACAAAATATATCAGAGATATAATCAGATATCTTTATGCCTGCAATTTGAAATTGTATCTAAGACATCTTATTTTCAGATATTCACAGAATATTTGCATGATATCATTACTTGGTATCACATTGTTTTTCCTTGAAAAGGATATCTCTGCTACTTCGCATATGATTATAGTCGGTATCAAAATCTTACCAACATCTTTCTTACAGATATCTCCGTGATATCTCGACAATCAGATATTTAGGCCCATATTTATAGTCGAATCTAATATTCAAGATAGCCTCAAGTTCACTTTCAGATGTTTCACAAAGTTTTAAAGAAATGAACAGTATCCGAAGATAAACTCAAGACGGTTTTTGATATCAGATCCGTATATTAATGCGTATATTAATATATTAACCTTGGACATTCAGATATTCTCCAGATATCTTTGTGATATATTTTGCTGTATAGGCGGCGTCGTTCTTACACATGTAACTCATCACATCTCTCTACTGTCAGGGTTACAAGCTTACCGTATACGACGTGAACAAATCGGCAGTGGCGAGTCTGGTAGAAGCGGGTGCAACCGGTGCGCCGAGCGCCGCCGAGATGTCAAAGGAAGTCGAGGCCATTGTTTCGATGTTACCTTCAAATCAACACGTTCTCGATGTCTACAACGGCGAGCACGGTGTACTGAGGTAAAAGTCAATCCTTATGGTTCTTTTCTTACTTAATTACCATCACTAACTCAAAAATGTCCGAAATACATCATAGGGATATCCTAAAGATATCACGATATCTTTGATATCTTTGTGATCTATTTTGGACATTTCTGCTGTGTGGGAAACCTATCAGAGACGCCGAGTGATACCATTAATCCAAATCAGACGTCAAATTGGTCAAATCCATTTTTGCAAACTTCTCCATTTTAATACCAGAGCGTACAATTAATGTTGAATTTCTCAACATGAAAAAAAAAAATTTACGAAAAATGTAGTTGTCCAATTTGGTTTCTGAAAGCCCTGTTCTCAGAAATTTTATCCATTTTTTGAGCAGTTATTAAACAGTTTATTAATTTCTGCCTATAAAAGTAAAATTAATTGAATTCTAATCAAGATGTAACGCTTTTCTTGCTATTATTACGCACAAAAGATACGCAAAACCTGAATTCATTTACCGAATAATAACAAAACAATAAAATGGAGGAAGAAATATTTAATTGCTTAATAAGCAAATTGCTTATAAAATGGGCAGTTTTGCCTTAGAAATATCTTGGTATTAAACCTTATCGAGTTCTTGTCCATTTCCTATACAATATTGTTACAACTAATGAGAATACATTAATACTAGACAGTAACTGAATAAATTTTTAGGAAAACTGCGTACATTTGTACCAGAAAGGCTCAATTCCCGCATTTGCAATTAGTTTCATTAAGTCTCTCAAAGTCTCTTATTGTGAATTGATTTCCAGTGCAGCGAAAAAGAACGCATTATTAATCGACAGCAGCACTGTGGATCCATCGGTGTCGCAATCGGTCGCCACGGAAGCCCGACGACGTAATCTGAGATTTATCGACAGTCCCGTGTCAGGAGGTACATGCTCATTAATAAAAAATTAATAGAAAATTTGATAGAAAAATTAACAAAGAACACTCACCACTGAGCGCTTGCTTTTTGAAATAATGATTGGCAAATCGTAATCGATAAATTCAATATTAGGGCGGAAATATTTAAATATTTTCAAGGTAGCTACACAACGGAGCGACTCTGACAAGTCAAGAATATATTTGTATGTGGATAATTATAATATTAATAAAATAGTTATATTCCTTGTAAATCCTGATGGAAATATTTTGCTGAAATATTCTCTCAATTGACCTCATTTTATTAATATACGCAGTTTTCAGTTCAACTCAGTAAATTTCATAATATCTACTATTTCAAAAATTTTTTTATTACTTTTCAGAATTATACTTTAATTTTCATTATATTTCACAGCGTTACATTGAATTTCATCGTGAAAATTATGATTTATTTTGAAATATGTATTATTATATATTTTAATAATTTTTCAGTCATTATTATCTACTGTTCATCAAATTCATGGTATATCAATACTTGGATATAAGAAAAGTTGAAATATATCATTGAAATCTACTGGATTTTATAGAAAACTGCGTATATTGACGGAATGATAATGAAGTGGGGTCAATTAGGAGAGAATTTCGATAAAATTTTCATCATAATATTTCCATCAGGATTATAAATCAAAAGTATACATAACATAAATATGTGTACACTATGACCCACAGGTATAAATGCGGCTAAAGATGGCACCTTGACATTCATGACGGGTGGCGCGAAGATGGACTTCGAAGCCGCGAAGCCCTTGCTTGAAGCTATGGGATCCAGGATAGTGCATTGCGGCGACGTAGGTATGGGTCAAGCGGCCAAGTTGTGCAACAACATGCTATTGGCTATCAGTATGATCGGCACCGCCGAAGCGTTCAACCTTGGACAAAAGTAAGAGGAAAGAGTTTCGTTGTTTATTCCGAAAAAGATTTTGGAGGGAAATATATATATATATATAAAGGGCGTCTCATTTTAACTTCACTCAAAGCACTCAAATATTCATTTTGAAAACGATGCGTCAATGGAAAAAATGTCTTAGACAAAAGTTGTATGGTTTGGAGGGGGATATTAGATGGTAACATCGGTTTGATCTTTGATAGTCTTTTGAAAGTCACATGAAGGTCACCTTCAATTTTTTTTATCTCTGAACCTGCGCTAAAAATAAATGTTCATCTTCCAGACTGGGCTTGGACGCGAAGTTATTAGCTGACATTGTGAATTCCAGTTCGGGTAGATGCTGGTCCTCCGACCTCTACAATCCGGTCCCGGGGATATTGCCTGATGTTCCCAGTTCAAAAAACTACGAGGTAATAGCACAGGACTATCGTGATTTAATTTCTTTATTTGGATTCACAGAGAAGCAAGTGAATCGAGAAAGTCGGGAATGGAAAAATTATGCTAGATCTTCTAATTACGAAATCGATGATTGTTGCGATTTACAGTCTGTCTAACTCTTATAGAAAAGTATTATTAACTGGTCAGTAATCAATTACTGTATTTAAGTAATTTGATTACTAGTGCCTAGTGATTTTGAATATTTCAATTACAGGGATACTAATAAAATAATGTAGAGTATGTCACGCTCTTATTAGATAGACTATACTTATAAAGAGATCAATGAGTATCGATCCACAATAGGTATTTTAAGCCGTAAGAAATTGATCAATCACAGTTAATTATTCTCTTCACATTTGCCTGTGATTGGTCAATTTTTTAAGGCTTAAAATACCTATTGTGAACTGACGCTGATAGGAAATCTAGATGTGGCTCAAGCTATAATAGTTCGTACTTATCCAAATCTAATATTTTAGGTGTGTCAGGGAACTTCGTCCTTTTTACAAATGATTAAAATTTAGTTCATGTCTGCGTTTCCCATTTCGTGAGGTCTCCTTTAAATGTTATAAAAAATGATTGATTTCGCAGGAAAAAAATCACTGTCTTTTAATCATTGCGATTTTCGATTAATGTTATTATTGATTTACTTTTAATCACAGGGTGGCTTCGACACGACTTTAATGGCCAAAGATCTAGGACTAGCGCAGTCTGCTGCCACGAGGACGCAGACTCCGATTCCTCTCGGCTCCCTGGCGCATCAAATTTACCGGACGGTCATCGCGCAAGGATTCTCGAACAAGGACTTTAGCGTAGTTTACCAGTTCCTTAAAGGCAGTTAAGATACAAGTTGAGGATCTGAAACTTAAGCTTGCTAAAGACATGCGTTCTGTCTGCGAAGAAACAAGTGAATTTTATATCGGACAAGTTTCCACAAAATAAATTCTTATTTTATTTCTTGTTAATTTATTAATTGAAAAATACCTCCTACAATAATTTATATAATAACGGTCGGTACGATTTTTGGGCTTCCGATAATTAAAAAAAAAAGTTGGAAAGTAAATATGTTCATTTGTTTTATATAAACGACTTGCAGTAAAAATAATGAAAAAAATTTTTTCATAAACAATCAAGGTCACCTTGAAATAAGCACAAACTATTATAGCTTGAGTCGCATCTAGATTTCTTATCAGTGTTGGGCCACAATAGGTATTTTAAGCCTTAAGCTTTAAGAAATTGACCCATCACAGTCGAATGTGAGAAGAATAATTAACTGTGATTGATCAATTTCTTAAGGTTTAAGGCTTAAAATACCTATTGTGGATCGACATTAATGCGGGCGTTGCGAACGTCAGAAAGCTAGTTACAACTAGTTATAAAACTAGTTACAACATGAACGCAGTGAATGCTGCGTTAAGTGGAACAGCGCGAAGGGTGATTTGGGCGTTGCGATCGTTATGTGGAACGCAACTATGATTCACGTGTAAAATAACTTTTTTAGTTGATTAAACAAAAGTTAGAAATAACTTTTGCTTTCTTAATTTTTATCATTTTTTCAAATCATTCATTTTTATTTTTTCACCTTGTCTTTAATTGACTAAGTTTTTAATTTTTTTTTTATTTCCAAAATTTTCTGTGAGATATCAAATATGATATATTTTTTCTAATTTAATACGCAATGTTGCGACAACTAGCTATGCCACGTTAATTCAGCTAATTGTCCCATAATAATTGCTCAATATTATTAATATATATGCGATGAAATATCAATATATAAGATAAAAATATTATATCTGAGGTAAAATAAATTATTGTACTTAATGAAAAAATGTTTGCATATGGTCCGATAACATCGATTTATGATACCTCCTTTAAAACAATTCTCTGTATAAAATAAAATTGATTGGAATTTATTATTTGCGCGTGGGATTTTACAGAGAATCTTGTAGGAAAGTCTCACCAACAATTGGCGACACTGGAACGGACCTTTTTGCTGTAATTGCGTGTACGGCGAGGAGGCTGAAAGCAGCGAAAGACATTTGGGAGTTGCAGTCAGTCACAGTCAATTGGTCGTAAGTGTCTGATCGCTATTCAGATAGTAGACTTTGCGTTTTTCTTGTGTTAAATCGTTGAACGACGATCGTCGAAACATGACCAAGCTGAGGAAATCAATGGAGAACGGCGACACCCGTGGAGCGCATGGACAGGCCTACAAGGATAAGAGCAAACCTACCGACATCCGCAGCAGCAACATTAATGCCGCTAAAGGTATGAACGTTGATGAACGTTCGCGAGCTCCTCATCGCGACGGGACGCGAGAATGGCGTGTTCGCGATTTAGGTTACCTCATAGTTGCCTTATATAGTAATGATGTCCGCTGCAAGCGCACCGGCTATTCTTTCCACGTGTGCGTCGACGCTCTGTTAAACTGAGCTCAGAAACGAAAATAAAATACATCGAATGAACGATGTGCTACGCTTTTCTTATGAAATTACTTTACGATTTGGTCGAAGTTCGCAAGTCATTCTTAAATCATTTCGGGGCCTCATTACTATATACGTCACGATTATTATTTCATTAATTGACCTGTTCAATTTGAAACGCAATTTGTGAGATTCTATATATTTTTACAGCCCGTATTCTGAACTTTCTTTTATCGAGAGAAATACCTTAAAAATTGCTTAAGAAGCCTGATTGGCTGAAAAGCCACATTTAAGGCATCTTTATTGATTAAAGAGTATTCAGAATACAAACCTGTATGTTTCTATATATTTCTTTGTGATATTTTTATGCTGCACTCATTCCAATTTCTTGTGTCAATGTAATTTACAACTATGTAGTATATAGGATAATAATGTAGAAGATTCCATTGTTTATTCATTCAGATGAAATTTACCGTTATTGCATATTTCCATGAAAAGTAGGAAAAAATAATAATTGGAGTTATTACTTAATGTAAGAAGGGCAATATGTTGTTAAATAATATCTCATTGGTTTTATCATGATATATCGCGTAGTTATTATTATATATACTTGTAATTATAACTACATAATTATATTGTAATTTTAAATCTAAATATGTAATATAAACTTAAAAGTAAAATTGTTGAAGAAAACAAGCCTATCCTGTACATATATCATACATGGATTGTTATATCCTTATAGCTGTTAGCGATGCGATACGCACCAGTCTTGGACCCAGGGGAATGGATAAAATGGTAAGCTTTACACTCATTATTTACAGCGAATTCATCGGACAAAATTATTACAATAATTATCAATTGGTAACAATACAATAGATCCAGGCTAGTAACGGAGAAGTTACCATCACAAATGACGGTGCGACCATTCTGAAAGAAATGAACGTAGTGCATCCCGCTGCTAAAATGGTAAAACGTCAATGTCCCTTATTCCTTTTGTTTGATTGAATTTCACATAATGTACATTGTCTCATGTTTATGTAGCTTGTCGAGTTATCCAAGGCGCAGGATATAGAGGCTGGCGATGGTACCACGAGTGTCGTCGTGATAGCTGGCGCGCTTTTGGAACAAGTGGAACGTTTGTTACAGAAGGGGATTCACCCTACCTTGATCAGTGATGCGTTTCAAAAAGCGGATGCGAAAGCAGTTTCGATTCTGAAACTTATGTCCATACCCGTTGATCTAACGGACAAAGAGTCTCTCGTAAAAGTAGCAGCGACATCGCTTAATTCCAAAGTATGCATTAATTAATTAATTAATTATATATATATATATATATATATATATAGTGCGATCACGTCGATATTTATAATACTGCTTCTTTCGTTACGCAGTTTAAAGTTACTTAATTACTGAATTTACACGGTCATTCAACATTTGTTATAACGTTACCTCAGGTTGTGCATCAGCAATCCAGTATTCTCGCGCCACTCGCTGTGGATGCAGTGTTAAGAGTTACCGAAGAAGGGAAAGAAAACACAGTTGACTTACATGTGAGAAATCTTCTTACATATATCTCTGTGTGCCTGATATGAATTCGTGTTATATTTTACCCTCTCTTATCTCTGTAGGATATTAAAGTAATCAAAAAGATAGGCGGTACTGTTGAGGATACCGAGTTAGTAGAAGGATTGATATTTACTCAGAAGTCTTGCAACGTCAATGGCCCAAAACGTATCGAGAAAGCTAAGATCGGCTTGATACAGTTCTGCATCTCGCCGCCCAAGACCGACGTGAGTATTGCGGGACAATCATGTACCCACATTCGCACCTTTCTCACGGATACATCGATACTCTTGGAATCTTCAGATGGATCATAACGTGATCGTGTCTGATTACTCGGCGATGGACCGTGTCTTGAAAGAAGAACGCGCCTACATACTGAACATCGTGAAACAGATCAAGAAAACCGGCTGTAACGTCCTACTCGTGCAGAAGTCCATTTTGCGTGACGCCGTCAGCGATCTCGCGATACATTTCTTAGACAAGATCAAGGTCATGGTGGTCAAGGATATCGAGCGCGAGGACATCCCCTTCGTGTGCAAGACGCTCGGTTGCAGGCCGATCGCCTCGCTGGATCACTTTGTGCCGGAGAACCTCGTCAACGCTGAACTTTGCGAAGAGGTCCAAACGGGCAGCTCGAAATTCGTCAAGGTGCGTATAAAAGACATCGAGTCCGTTTTATAAATTACCCGAGCGCTTGGCACATCTCCTTCAGGTGACCGGGATCCAAAACCACGGGAAAACCGTGACGGTTCTCGTGCGTGGCAGCAACAAGCTGGTCTTGGAGGAAGCCGAAAGATCATTGCACGACGCTCTGTGCGTCATTCGGTGTCTGGTGAAGCAGAGAGCGCTGATCGCTGGTGGAGGAGCGCCTGAGATCGAATTGGCGTTAAAGCTGGCGGATCATGCGCTCACTTTGGTTGGAGTCGATGCGTATTGCATCAAGGCGTTCGCGAGTGCTCTCGAAGTTAGTGTCAAATACGTTAATATATCAGAACTTTCGGACTTGATGCAAGCCTCAGATCAAACGCGGAAGGCTGCTGCATGATAGCTCGAGATAACTGGCGGTATTTTTTCAGGTGATCCCGTCGACGTTAGCTGAAAACGCGGGCTTGAATCCCATAGCCACGGTGACCGAGCTCCGCAATCGGCACGCGCAAGGCGAAGTGACGGCTGGCATTAACGTACGGAAGGGCGCCATTACCAACATACTGGAGGAGAACGTGATTCAACCGCTGCTGGTCTCGACCAGTTCGATAACACTCGCTTCTGAAACTGTTTGCAGCATACTGAAGATTGACGACATCGTCAATACGAATCAATAGGTCTCGCGACGCAACGTAAAATTGATTCCATACGTTTTGCATGATGCAGTAAGCGCGATTTTGTGGTACTTTGCGCACGCGTGAATGTTCATTCCGTCTCCGTACTTACAGGATGGTTTCTTTGTTGCAGATCGATGCACATGTTCGTCGCATTTGTTTAACTCTGTTAAAAATAAAAGCCCATTCATCGGTAATTTACAGCTCTGTATGCTTCACAAATGTTTTACATGATGTAATATTTTTCGAATACTAAGTAGAAACAATAAAGTGCGTGAATCTGTTTATTAATCTGCATTTATTTCGATATAAAAAAGATTGTATACACTAAATTACATATATTCTCGTAAAATTTCGTCTTGAAGCAAAATCTATTTGGAATTTCAGCTATTAGTAGGAAAAGTAGTGTACTGTTGGGAGATCCTGCGAATATCTATATTTATTTATCTAGAAAAAATGCATGACACATACGTATAATTCTCTTCACAGTTTAATGAAAATATATATAATCTTATACAATAGCTCTGGCCAAGTATATAACTACATATTAAGTACATCTCTTTTGTATAATAAAATAGATATTTACTTCTATTTGTGTGAGTATTGTATTTATTTTTTTAAATTAACTGCACAATTTTCTACTAATTGCTTAGTAACTTTATATTTGATTACAATGAGAGTCGTTGATTAAGTACATCTCTAAACGTTATAACTACACTAGGACCTCAAAATTTTCTTCGTTGAGATACGTCAGTCAGTCGGTCAGTAAATACGCGAACAGTATTTTTCTGAAAAGTATGCGAGATTGGAAAGTCCGAGTCGCAAATGGTAGAGATTCCAGTGTAATTGTAAAAATAATAGGATTTATGATTTTAATAGAAACGTGTAAAGTATAAAATTCTACATGTAGCGGCGGTGACTTCAGTCAAACAAATATCCCGTTTATTTTTCATGAAAAACTTATGCAAATGGAATGTTCATTATATGAGAGAGGCGGAGAGTATATCGTGCTACTTATGTTCATGTTAACAATATTTAATAATCATATTTCATCATTCGTAAGATTAATCTTAAATTTGACTGTTAATCGAAGATATATAAAATCTTTATCAGGCATATACACCACACCAATAGTAACTGGAAAACTCGTTCGACCAAGTACTTCATTTTTCTGAAATGTACATGTATCTTATTTACAAATTTGTAAGAATTTTTAATTATCTCGCATAAAGTACGTCCTACACAAGTTACAGCTCACTCAAAAATATGTCTATGTAGATGTATATTCTCTACGCACAAATTTATATTACATTGTAATTTCAAATCTCTTACTTCTCAAATAAAGTGTATGAAAACACATCGTAATATGCTTTTTTTTCACGAAATCAAGCAATTGTTGCATTAATGAAAAGATGTATTTCTTTTTAAACACACTCAGTCAAGTTAGAGTTTAAAATGCGATCAATCCTAGAAATATTATAGGAAGAAATATTGGCAGTAGCAAAAATGGACATATCTTTCGAAATATTTCTTATATATATAATCATATATACATAAGTAATTGTCTTAAAAAATTTTTTTTCCATTACATTTATCAGACAGTGTAGAAGTAGTACGTTTAAAACAAGATGAAGTTACATTGGAATAATTGAGTATAGTTTTAAATTGTTAGAAATAGCGAGAAAGAGAAAGTAGGCGAGGGAGAGAAAATACTCCTCAAGAATTATATTAAATTATAAACTTCATTTTGCATTGTCTATTATAAATGCTTGTTTTCGTTACTTTTATGCCACTTTTATGTCTATTTTAGAGGATTTATAATTTACGACAGAATTCGAGGCAAGATTTTGATCATAATAAGACGTTTAAGAAATCGGCATTACATTCGCAGGCGTATGTATACTTATGTACATATATAAATTTTTAAGTGTTTCTAACGTTACACATTACATAAAACAGAGAAAAACACAAGTGAAGAATTCTGTCGCGGATTATACATAGTATAATCTAAATGGCCTAAAGCGACGACTGTACATTTTAAGAAACTCAAAATATCTCATTGGGTTCTCTATTTGTTTAATGCAATCAGCATGATAGTCANTATATAGACATTCATCAGAAAGTGTGTGAACAGAGTGTTTTACAACATGTAGAACCCATTATATAGATGAATTCGGGACCTAATGAAAGTAATAAAAAAGAAAGTTCACAACTTTCTCCCTCACTCCTTGTTACCAGCATAAATCTGTTCATCTTTAAAGGAAATGCTCAAAGTATATAATCTTACGCTTCAAAATAGGCTTTCAGAACATAATAAAATGTTAATTACTTAAGTACATATACACTAGATACAAACTGTAGCTCAGGCGAAGCTCAAAAATGGCAGCCTGGAACCGAAATAATGTATATCTAATGTTATAAAAAATTGCTTAGAGAACAGTCAAAAAGGTCGATGCTTGTTGCAAAGAGTCCAACGGAATTAGAAACTTAATTCAGCTTATATTAAACAAATTAATGGAACATAACTTGAAACAAAATCAAGTCGAATATGTATCTATATGAACTTCTTTTTTAATCCATCTCTGAAGTGGATGTATTTTATGTTATGTGTGTATGTATCTTGTGTATGTGTGCACATACACCAAATTGACTCGCAATGTACGTTACTAAACATAAATTGTACATTATTTGCAAATACGTGTGTGCAATTTGCCAGATAATAATTTACAAATAACAACAGCCAGATAATAATTTACAAATAACAATAGCGAAGTAATAATTTATAAATGACAATAATCAAATAATTTACAAGTTCCAAGAGAGGTTTAAGTCTTTGCAAATACGTGTGTGCAATTTGCCAGATAATAATTTACAAATAATAATAGCGAAGTAATAATTTACAAACGTCAGTAATCAAATAATTTACAAGTTCCAAGAGAGGTTTACAATCCTTGTCCATATTACCATCGTGGATGTATTTGATGGAAATTCCATTGCTGATAAGTATTGTTAATGTCACACGGCATCAGAGATAGTTGTTGTGTTTGAGGATGAAGTGCCATGCATTTCTTGTGTACTCTATGCAACAGAGTTTTTGTCTTCTGCAAACGAGAAGGTAAGTAATATTAATACGTTAATATAAGAATTGTACAAGATTTTTTGGAAGCTCTTATGAAAGAATAAAAGCTTACTTCGTCATATTGCCATGGACCGTCCGCGGTTCCCAGACGGCAAAATGCGTACTTCACACCCTGGCCGTCTGCTTCAACGCACCTTTCACCAACGCCCAATTGACCCTTCGCATTCAGCCTCATAAGCTAACCACAAAAAATGTAAAATTGAATATGATATATAGTATTAAATATGATATTATTCCAAATACAGAATGAGTCATAAAATAATTCAAAAAACGATAAATAATCTAACAAATGGAATGGAACAAATTATATGTACACACAGATGAATCATTTAATACGTCGTTTGAAAATAACTCAGAAATATTCAACAAACGGAAAAATGTTTCAAACAAAAGTCGTTTGATTTCGAAGGGGACATAATTAAGAAAAAAATTAAGTTAACTTTGGAAAACGCTATCTATGGCTAATTTAAGGTCAAGATGTTATTCTACCCTCGAAACCAAACAACTTTTGCTTGAGTCATTTTTTCGTTCGATACATATTTTTTCAGTTATTTTCAAGCGACATATTAAATGACTCACCTGTGTATACATATAATATAAAATATAAGTATTCGCGGGTTACCTGATTGTTTCCAAAACCATGGCAGTGGGAAGTAGCCATAAGACTCGGGGGTGCCTGACCCATGGTATCTAAACACGACTTAGTTGCCACATTTCGCAGCTGAAGGAATATTAATGTTTAATGTAAGAAAATAAATCAATAAATACAGTTAACGTAGATGGATTAATTAACGAAACTCGAGGAGACATCGATTATTCAATCAAGTCGTACTTAATCGAGCGTACCTCTCCCCAGTGAATATTCGGTGGTAATTCCGGAAATTTGTCCAGCACATCGTACGCCACGTTATCCATATACCACTGGAAGCTCTTACATTTCTTTCGTTCTTTGAAAGTCAGCTGCTCGGATATGTCACCGTGATCGAGGAATCGGGCCAAGGGTTCTCTAGTGTAAAAGAATTCCTTGTGTTTCTCGTCGAACCATGTTTCTATAACTCGTTTGTAGTTCTGCAAAAGAAGATTCGCTGGGCAATTAGTATCGAAAAACAACATACATATACTTACTGCGTGTATCTTCAAATAATACACTTGGGTCTCTTTTTACGCGATATTTTTCTACACGATTCACAGTTACACGTTTCTTTTTCTCCGTGAAATGTGGATCTTTTCTTTAATACTTTTTTTTCCTCATTTTCCTCAACACATTAGCTTTTCTTTTATGCGTTTATTGAATAAAAGATTCTCGGTGAACGCAATTCTATACGTTAAATTGCTTTTTGTACCGTTTGCGTTACTTGAACACGATTGTTTTCTTCTCGCACGGTACGCATCCACCGTGTAAAAAGAGAGCCGAGTGCTGCACTCACGATAGTTATTAAGGGTCCTTTCTTCTTTTGAGCGAGTTTACCGAACGTGTAAGGCATGAAACCCCGATAAACGTGGCCGACGTGGGAGCACGGCACCCACAGGATGCTGCCGCCGCACTGCCATATCTTGAACGACAGTTCGAAGTTTTCGCCGCCCCAGACGAGCAGTCCTTCGTCGTAGCCGCCCAGAGATAAAAAGTATTGTCGATTGATCGCGAATAAGCCGCCGGCGTGTGTGGGTGATCTGTAAATGTGAGAAATGAGGTCAGCAACGATGGATCAGCGGAGTCGGGTTGAACGATGATAAAGCTGTACAAAGTCCAAGGCAGAAGTCGCACCTGTATGGCATGCTGTCGTGCGAGCGTGTCTTCGATTCACGCCTGGGTAGTTCGTTCTCTTTGTACAACATGCCCCATTCGAAGATTCCTCTGTACAAATGACCTTCTAGGTATACAGGACGATACTCAAAAGTCTTATGATCGATGCCGTCTATCACAGGAACTGTCATTACATTTCTGAAAAGGGCAGTGTTAGATTAAGAGGTCATTTATGATGACTTGCGTCGGAACAAATTTCGGACCCTATCGTTGTGCTCCACACTTTAATCATACTTCAATCCTTCAACATATCGATACGGTGAGATACAACGCATCATGCCGTACCACCGGTTTTCACCGGTAATGTTTTATTGTATTACCTATTTTCAGCAATCGGCGCTAAAAGAGGAGGCAACCAATTCACATTGACCTCGCAATGGGCGTCTAAAAATACTATCACTTCGCCCTTAGCCTCACGCGCTCCTCGGGAACGCGTTCGTATCAAGCCTTGCCTCTCGTAGTTTCTCAATAATCGAACTTTACCTCCCCACTGCTCGATATAGGAGTCTAAGTCGCCTTTTAAATTGTCTGCGAACAAATCACAGTGATTTGTAGTTTGTGTTTAGCAAGATTTCGACGACAAAAACGTTCGAATTGCGTCGAGGACAAGTGAAGCGGAGAGTCGTCCGATCGTCGGATTTCATCCCGAGTGTACCTTTGTCGGAGAAATCATCAACGAGAAGGACTTCCTCCAAGAACTTCGACGGAGTACGGTTCACGACACTGTGGATAGTTCGTAGTAAAACGGACCAACCCTCGTTGTGAAACACTATAATGACACTGGTGCGAGGCAATTCCTCTGGATAGTTCCAATGTTTACATCTGCCGTTACACACAAGAGAAAACAAAGATTAAAGGCCGAGGATTCACGCTGTTAATCACAACGGGAGAGACTTACTCCGCCGGTCTGGTGTCCGGTATTGATCTCGACAGCGAAATCTCATCGGAGCACACCATGTTCATACCGTAATCAGATTCAGATTGCTGGACATCGTTCTGCTGATCTTCCCTTAAATTATGCGGTTTGCCTCCTTCCCCAGGCCCGGTCTTGACCGATACATCACGTGGCTCAAAATTTCCCAAACCCTCTGTGAAAACTGTGGCCTGTGTACGACAAATTAGAAATTGAAGCGGAACGTGCAAAATTTGAGAATACGAGAAACTGTGTCTAATAAAATGATCAATAACCAGCTATCGGATCAATGTTTTACCTGTTTCTTTCTAAGACCTTGTGCCCAGTATTCTTTTATATTGTTCATATGATTGTCCGAAGAAAAGTCGAGAAGAATATACAAAGCTAGAAGCAGCGATACACCACCGATCAGTATGTGACACAGACGGTTTCTTCTGAACTGTACAATCCTCATCTTTTACCAATTGTACACCTAAAACTGAAAAACAGAGATCTGAGATAACAGTCCATAAATAAGAAGGGTCTGTTCTCAATTTTTCTTTTCTTTTTAATCACAAGTTCTCCCGGAAATGTTCTCGACGACAAGACGTTTCACCTTAAAAATGTGCCATTCATAAATTTCATCGTTTACCTCGTTAACGCGGAACTAGCCTGTCCCATTTTTTACCTTAACAACAGCGAAAGATAAATAAACGAAATATGGGGTACCTTTTGTTGAACGAAAGAAGTCGGAGTAATGCGAAGCCGGCTCAACGATATGCATACGTCAGCGTGTCGAACATCAATAATTACATGTGAGCAAACTTATTCATAGTATCAAAACTATACATTAACATAAGAGCCAACGTGTCGGCCAGCTGTCATGTACTAAAAATACGCTACTAGAGACGTTGCACCCATAGAGCACCGTACACCCATCGCCATGTTGGCCATCGAAGTGTCGGCCATTGAGGACATTTAAACAGTGCGCATTAAAATGGTCGATAATATCAGTGCTCATCGGCTACGGAGTTCCAACAGTGGCGCTTCGTACAGGAGGAATCATGAAAAACCGCTCTCTGTGTCATTCCTGTGTTCTTCCGCTGTCAGGTTTGTACAATCATTCGTGCATCTCGCGTGTGTATATTCATCTCATGATTACTCTCTCATTTGTATCGCAAAAATTGAAATGACATTACGATATAAACAAGGATACGTGGAAAATCAAATATATATTACGTAAGATATAGTAGAGAATTGTTACGCGCGAGTAATGGAATTTACGATCTCGCCATATAAGGGACTGGCTAATCTGGCTGTACTTTGACCCCTGGCTTACCAAATTAAGGGCCCAATCGTGAAGATTATTTCTTCAGTATCAGCAAGTATCCGTAGTCAGCCGCATCATGTCGGACACCGTAAGCCCAGTGAAATACTTTCTGAGCGGAGGATTCGGCGGAGTATGTACCGTCCTGGCGGGTCACCCTCTGGACACCATTAAAGTGAGGTTACATTTAAATCGTTTGCTTGTTGAGCTTGTTAAGTCAGATTGGACTAATTTTCTGCGTCCTTATTTCTCCTTATTTTATTTTGTGCTGGCTTCGGCAATACAATCTGCTGTTGCTTACGAAAAGATTCGTAAAACATATATTCTAGATTTCATTTCTAACGAAAATATTATTTTTCATAATATTCATTTTTCACTTGTAATAAATTGAATGCAGTTAATAATATATATATATGTATATATATATGCATGTATATGTATATAATAGAAGTAAAAAATTGGATTAATGATAAATAATCGCTCGTGTTTGATAGTACTTTCTAATATTTTGATAATAGTCAAATTCTATTCTACTTGTTAAAAAAGACATTATATATAGGTACGACTTCAGACAATGCCTGTGTCAGCTCCAAATGAGCTGCCTTTATATTCTGGTACATGGGATTGTGCCAAAAAAACTATCTCCAAAGAAGGGATACGCGGCTTATATAAGGGTATTTATATATTTATATCAGATATTACAAATAGAAATTTTTATATATATTAAGCTTTGCATATTAATATTAAATATATAAAATACAATTATTTATTATATAAGCAATAATTTTATAAGAAGTTTCACAAAGGCAAATTGGACGATCAAATTTACAGCGTTCATAAGATTATAGGCTTTTTGTATTACATAACCGATGATGTCAGCAAACATTATAAGCAGTTGCTGAGAGATACTAACCGAAGTCTTCAGTATTATGTTTATAGTGTAGAAACTCGTATTTTACAGAGAAAATTGCTAATAATGATTAATTTTTGATGATAATACTTGGAATCTATATATCTTGTTCAGGTATGGCTGCACCATTATGTGGCGTCGCGCCAATATTTGCGATAAGTTTCTTTGGATTTGGTGTTGGGAAAAGACTACAACAGAGTACTCCGGACGAGAAGCTCACAACAGTACAATTATTTGGGGCCGGTGCTTTCAGCGGAATATTTACGACTATTATAATGGCACCTGGGGAACGTATTAAGTGTCTGTTACAAATACAGCACGCAGACGCTAAACCAAAGTATAAGGGACCTATGGATTGCGCGAGACAATTGTATCGAGAAGGAGGCATCCGAAGTATATACAAAGGCACCTGCGCTACGTTATTAAGAGGTACGCCTATAATTTTGTAGTCTCGCTTGTTTATCGTATTTACGGGCACGCAGCGTTATTATTTATCGAATAATTATATGAGGCTCTCGAGAAAAGGTTTTAGATAACTTCGACAGAAATTTGCTATACGTGCAGTTTTACTTACCTAGAAAAAAATGGCATGTAAAGTACATTTCTCTAGAAATTGTGTGCGGCATAGTTTATAAGAATTTTCAATATATATCTCTCTTTGTGTCTCGTTGATGTATACGTACAATTGAAAGAGAAACTAGCTAACTGATATTGTTGTCCTCTTCATAGTTCCTTGTCTTCAGAGACTTCCGGAGGTACCGTTTCTTCAGGTTACCACACTGTAAGCCACCCTTGCGTAACGCATAGAAAACCCCCCAATTCTGCAGTCGTTTTGGCGTCGAACATCGGGGGGCTGTCTCCTTGTTTCTGTTGACCTGTGTCGTGTAGAATTGTTAATAATTCGAGTTATCTATCGAAACGCAAAGTCACCATCGATATCACACACACACACACACACACACGCAAGTAAATAACTCGGATGAAACATTAGTATTACCAGGTGAGGGTTCCAATTGGTCATCGTGCACGTGCAATCCCAAGGATTGCCGTCCAGCCTCAAGTTTTGCACTTGCGTCTGTTTACTCGGTGACCTGAGATTCCTGAAGAAGTCGAGAGGCAGTGACGTTAATTTGTTTCTCGTGAGCAGGATTTCCCGCAGTTCCCTCTGCTGCTGAACGGTGAACAAGCCGGGCGGTACGGACTCCAGATCGTTGTCCGACAGATCGATTCTTCGGACTCTCTCCAGACCGTAGAACGCGTCCATGGAGATCCTTCGGACGTGGCACCGGCTCAGATCCAGATCCAGCAGATTTGTAAGATCGACGAACGCGTCGAAGTCGATGCTCGTGACGTTTCCCCGCATCCTGAGATGCGTCAGCGCCGGCATCCCGTGCAAGATGTAGCGCTCCAGAACGGGTATCTCGAGATTGTACAGATGCAATATTTCGGCTTGACGTAGGCCCAGCAACGAGTCCTTCTGCAGCTTCAGCCTCGATGCCTCGCCGCCGAGGTACAGTTTCACCGTCGTGTTCATGATCTCGAAAGTACTGAAAGAACAGACGCGTCTTCGTTAGTACGAACGTGCGATCGTCTTCGGACGCGAGAGATTGTTTGAGGGGAACCTTGGGAAAACGGAGTCGAGAGGGTTGTCCGTGAAATCGGCGGTTAGGAGGGCCGGAAACGGTGGGAACGACAGCTCCGACAGAAACGTCAGATTATTCTGCCGCAGGTCGAGATGCTCCAACACCAGCAGCCCCGCCAAGTCCACGCTCTTCAGCGTGAGCAGCTCGTTACCCGCGAGCGACAGCGACCTCAGATTCGGCGTGCCGTAAAAGCAGAATTCAGGAATGAACTTCAGACTGTTCCTCTCGAGCGAGAGGTAAAGCAGGCTGTTGAGACCGTCGAACATGTGCCAGGACAAGTCCGTCAGGGCGCAGTCGTACACTCTCAAGTGCGTCAGCGCGCCGAGAGCGGCGAACAGCTCGACGTTATCCCGGTAGCCCTCCAGTTCCTGCTTGTAGAGATCGTAAGGCAGTATCTCCTTGTCTTCGCTCTCCCCGCTGTTTTGCTGGCTCAGGAATATCAACCTGTGCCCCTTCGGTTGGCTGGCATTGCTCGCAGGCACTCGATCGTCCTCCACCGTCTCGCTTTTGTACGCGTTCACCGGCTTGATCACTAAATTCGCCTTGTTCTTGTTGGGCATGTCCAGGCTCGTCAGCTTAACTCGCTCCAAATTCAAGTAGAGCAAAGTCAGCCCGAGAGGGAACATGGTGTCGGGCGAGAGGCGAATCCCGCCCTTCTCCCTTCTCGTCTGATTATTCGCCTCTTTTACGGACGGATCGCTGTAATCTATCCCTTGAATGTCCAGTGATATCAAGTCTGTAAAGCGTTGAAACGTCGTAGCTCGCAGAGGGATGTCAACTTCCCCATTACCGGACTCAAGTAACGTGAGAATCTGAAAGGAGAGAAGCGGGGAAGTAACGAATAGATTGGCTCGTTTTCGGAGAGATCTAAATAAGTGCAAATCATGTCTTATTCCGCTTCGCATGGGAACGCGACAGAACGACGGCTTGAGAATGTCTCGGCTCGAGATGCCACTTAAAGGTGTTGCTGTTGTTAGTACCGTATTTTCAGTGACGCATCGAAGAGGCCGCTTATGGTATTTATTGAGCAAACTTACTTTCCTATACATTTATTTCGCTACCTAAATAACAAATGTCAATTTGAAACGAAGTTAAGATAGACACATATACTCAATACAAAAGTACAAAAAAATATATATATATATATATATATATATATATATATATTTCGAGTATTACTATGAGTTATGAATTTTACATTATTGTATATTCAAAACAATACGGTCAATAATTCTGAAACTTGTGTCTGCATATTAGTTTTTAATATCATAATAGATTTTCAAAAAAAAATCTCATTCTTTGTTTAGAAGATATTAAAAATAGAAACTAAAAAGTAACATACTGACCTCAAGGAACACGTTTAAAAAGTATCAACTTTAGTTACAAATATCTCAGCTCTGAAATGGTTACTCTTTTCCTAATTGCACGAGCAATGAGTTAAATATTTCACTGTATATTAGTGCGAGTTTCAGCAAATTTTTATCAAACTGATTTCACTTTACAAGTGGAATAATTTTTTATTCAAGTTCTGAATTTTACTGTCAAACTTTTGGTGTCGCTTTTAAACGCAATGTAGATAAATTTATAATTCTTTCGTTATTTTTTCATTATTTCGAGTTATGGGTCACATCTTTAATCACTCTTATTATTACAAAAGAAGGATTTGTCGATTTAACCGGCAAAGATTTTCTCAATTTTTTGTCAATATAAATATCGATTCTTTCGTTTCGAGATCGCCGATCTTCCAGTTGCGATTTTGCTCCAACCTGTCCCTTGTTATTAATTATTATCTGTATTTTAGCTAGAGAGAGAGGACGCGAGTATTGGATTGAAAGTTTCAACTTGGAACATTTTCCTCGGCTTACAAAACAAAGACAGGAATGTTACTCGACCAACATTTTACGCCGTAGAATAAGGAAGTCAGTTTGCCAGCTCGCTATTGGCCTTGATTTACACTTACTTAAGCCTTCGTGTTCATACGTGTACATATCGTACACGTATCAAAAGTAAACATAAGAATTCACGTATGTGCTCGATATGCGACCTGTATGTCCGAAGGGAGCCTATCCAAAAGTTCCTTGGGATCTTCGACAATTACGCACGTGGCAATTTTGAGTAATTCGTGAGCCATAGGATGGTCATCGTCATTCGCGTCGTTGAAGCCGTCATGATCGTCGAAGGATGGATCCTGTCACGATGGAAACGTGATTGATAAGAGACGCAATGCGTGTCAGAAATAACACACCCGACTCGTTCATACCTGATCTTTATCTCTATAAGTATCAGTCCACTGGTGTAGAGGCAGATAGGAGAACTTTTGGATCTCGCAAGTACACCCTTGCGGACATCGTATCTCCCACACACCACCGATATCGATAATCTGTCCTGCAGACCGATCCTGAACATAACGCGGGTCAATCTTATTGGCGACAGGACACACGTCGTGCATAGCGTTCAAACGTTGTTTTAGCGTTCAAACTTGTTTTCGCAAATCGATGAATAATAATTATTCTTTTCATTTTACTTCGATATCATAATTCGCCCGCTCGTCTCACGGAGCGATCTAAGTTGAATAATCGCCCACCACGTGTATCGATACGCGTAAAAAATATTGGCATGCAATGATTCGGAGGAGAATCGAACGGGGATCGAAATTAGCGGGCGATGCGATAAGATATGAAAGTTGTTGTATGTACCAAAAGCAAAGCGACGAGAAATAAGAGAACAGGTGTCGTCATGTTGTCTCACTATTCGAACTATGATTTCGAAAACAGAGCACTACCGCTACTCGAGGAGCGGAGTAACGGCACGCTGGCCTGAAGGAAACTGGATTTTGTTAACTGTTATCTATGTGCCTTGATGCTTCTTATCAGACAGGATGCTTCCTATCTGTCGGCCCACACGCTCTACTCGCTATTATTAATTGTACATAATGTTTATGCGTCGGCCTGCGTAAGAATACTCGTGCGATTACCAATTCACCGTCTCCTCAAATACTTTCCAGATATTCCAGCCAGCGGCATGTATTTCATGACGTACGAATATCTGAAGGAACAATTCACTCCCGAGGGAGGGAAGCTTAGTCTACTGGCTACTATAGCAGCTGGCGGTTTCGCAGGTATCGCGAACTGGCTGGTGGGAATGCCACCTGATATCTTGAAAAGTCGTCTGCAAACCGGTAGGTACCAACTTCGATGTAACAGCGAGAAAGCCTCTTTTTTTTTCCCCTCTTTCCCTGAGATCTTATACAATGCGACTTGCCGAAACCGTTGTTGATCAACCTCTTCACTGCCATTATTTTCCCCGACTGGTCCTGAAATAACAAAAACAAGAGGTTCTTGAAAATCAATGAAAACTTATAAAGGGGGTTTTGATGCTATCGACGAATTTCAAGTCAAGAAAAATGTTGTCACAAGCCCAAAATGGCAGCTAATATAGAAAAATTTCAATTGAAATTTGATGTTAGTTTGCAGTAAATATCGGAGTTCTCTTAACTGTCTAAATATTATATTTAATTTATCGTAAAACTTGAATATAACAAAATATCGCATGGCGAGAATACTTGAAAATTCGACAAATTCTTATTTTGCGGTAGCCATATCTTTTTTTCTGAAGCAACATTTTGCAGATACGACTCAAAAACCGTGTTCCGCACACCCAAAAATTTCTAATTGCACTTTGCTTCATTGATAAAATCACTTAGGGGCTCTAATATAACAAAATATTTCATGACGAGAAAATGCTTTTTCGCGGTAGGAAACGCAAAGTCCAAAATGACGAGAATTCACGGCATCAACAGTCAAGGGGTTAATATGAAAAAATACATATCGGTGACATTCTTTATACAATACCTGTCGCATATTGTGACACCTATTGCATATTACAGCGCCAGAAGGCACGTACAAAAGAGGGGTACGCGAAGTATTTGTCGAACTGATGAAAAACGAGGGACCTACAGCGCTTTACAAAGGTGTCGTGCCGGTAATGTTACGAGCCTTTCCTGCGAATGCAGCTTGTTTCATGGGCTTCGAAGTTGCGATGAAATTCTTGAACTGGGTCGTACCAGGTTTATAATTGCCATATATATATATATATGTTGAAATCTTGCATGATGCTGCCATAGAATATGTATGAAAACGCCTTGTTGTATTATGTACGTTGTTTCTACAAAAGCTACCTCCTTGTATAACCGACTGCCTGCCAATTATTTAAATTATATCTCGATCGATTGAATTGTCGCGGAATTAGAAAATATTTTGATGCACAAAATATTTATATTTTTTACTTGTTTTTTTTCTGACAAATCTGTCACGTTTAAATTACATTTTGCTCTGCCATTTGTATTCCACGAATGCGGAATGACTAATTTTTCATCATGGCAGAAGTAAATCGCCTGAATTTGTTTTTACCTCAAAATAATGGCGAATGCAGCTCAAAGGAGCGACGTATGATCGCAAGGTATATTAGAAAATAGAGAAATGATAGTTATGAAGAGAATCTTGTTATGTTTAGAAAAAAGATTTATATGTTTATATGTTTAAAGTGCAATATTTCACAATTCTATCGTATAGAATTGTTTAACAAAGAAATAAAAATGAAAGTATGTCATCAGGGAATAGATATTCATGATAGATAGATAGATAGATAGATAGATAGATAGATATAATATTCATGATATCGTATTTGTTTTACAGAGTATTTGATAAAGATTTGAATATGTATATATATATAAAATTCCTCCATATATAAACATATCATATCAGAACGTGATAACAATAATATTCCTAAAAGATAAAACCTCAAAGATTATATATTCTATATGATTATATGGAATATATATATATATATATATATATATATATATATATACATATATGCGTATATAAACTTTTATACCGAATAAACACGTTATATAGTTTGAA